CCGGTCCTGGGGTGCCGGGAGCCTCGCCTGGGCGCCCACGCTGTGGAGGATGACGGGGGAACTCCTTCCCCAACTAGTTTCAGACCCGTTCTCAGCCACATGTCAAGAGGTAGTCCCCTTGCTTTATTTTTTTAAATTATTTTTTCAACATAGTCTTATTGATTTCAGAGAGGAAGGGAGAGAGAGTTAGAAACATCGATGATGAGAGAGAATCATCGGTCAGCTGCCTCCTGCACGCCCCCCACTGGGGATCTAAGCCCGCAACCCGGGCCTGCGCCCTGACCAGGAATTGAACGGTGACCTCCATGGGTCAATGCTCAACATTGATGTCTCTCTCTCCCTCTCCCGGTCCCTCCCCCCCGCTCTCTCAAATCAATAAAAACATATTTTTTTTAAAAAGAGTAAAGATGACTTTTAAGTTTCCTTTAAGTTCTGAAAATCCCAGGGAGAAAGCGAAGATGTCAGAGACCTAAGACGACGTGAAGGAGATCAGGGCGTCGGTTCCTCTAACTCGGGCCGCACTCACTGGTCACCTCCAGGACGGAAATGCAAAGGGAGAGGCTGCCCGGGGGGCTCAGCTGGTTCGCTTGTCGTCCCGATACGCCCAGGCCGCGGTTCAGTCCCCGGGCAGGGCACCACAAGGCAACCGATGAATGCATGAATACCTGCAACAACTCCTCTCTCTCTCTCTCCCTCTCCCCTCCCACCCCCTCTCTCTCTAAAATCAATTAAAAACATTTTAAAGGTTATTTTGCTTTAACCCTTGTGGCCCAGAGAGGGTCTAATTTGCAGGCGCCCCTGGCTGCCGGGCGTGGCTGTGGCTTGTTTAACAGCTGCCTGAACCCTCCTCAACGCCTCAGCCCCTTTAATGGGAGAGCCCATGGGAATTAAAAGGCTCCGTAAGAAAAGAGGTTTGGTTTGTTCATGAAAGCCAGGAGCTTGGGAAATACTTTCCTTTCCTGTGACTGCCACTTCCAGCTTGTGATTCCCAAGGAGGCGGCTTCAAGCGACTCATGAGCACCCATGGGACCCGAGCCCTGGGCACCAGGCTCTGAGGGAAAGGCCAACGTCTTCATCTGCCAACCTCGCCGCCCCCTCTCTGAGGGCAGCTCGGAGGAGAGCTCTGCAGCGGAGGCGACGGGTTACGGAGGGGGCGGGGCAGCAGGACGAGGGCTGGCAGGGGAGGCCGTGTGGGGGTCCCCAGGGGCACTCACAGAGGCTCCTGAGGAGGCAGAGGCCAGAACTGCCCACAACAGTGCAGTGCCCGTCAGCACAGGCCTTTCTAAGCCCTTGGGTGCCCCGCCTTCTCATTGAAGAAAAGGGGGGTGTGGGGGCCCAAGAGGAGGCAGCGTGAGTGTGGGAGAACGCCTGCAGGAACACATGTGGGTGGGAAGTAAATGGTTTCATTCTATGGCATTAAAATGGGGATTTTTCAAAATGCACTTCAGAAACAGCCCTGGAATCCGGTAGCTACTAACTAGACGTGTGTGTGTGTGTGTGTGTGTGTGTGTGTGTGTGTGGGCGCGCGCGCACGCGCGCCAATTACACAGTCATTCTAAGAACGTGGTCGCTGGGAGCTGTGAGTGTGCCAATTACACACTCATTCTGAGAATGTGGTCGCTGGGAGCTGTGTGTGCACCAATTACACAGTCATTCTAAGAACGTGGTCGCTGGGAGCTGTGAGTGTGCCAATTACACAGTCATTCTAAGAACGTGGTGGCTGGGAGCTGTGAGTGTGCCAATTACACACTCATTCTAAGAAGGTGGTCGCTGGGAGCTGTGTGTGCACCAATTACACACTCATACTAAGAACGTGGTCGCTGGGAGCTGTGTGTGCACCAATTACACGCTCATTCTGAGAATGTGGTCGCTGGGAGCTGTGTGTGCACCAATTACACACTCATTCTAAGAACGTGGTCGCTGGGAGCTTGCGGCAGATCAAAGCCAAGGACAGAGGGTGAGCGACAGGTTAGCGTCTCTGACTGAAGCGTCCCCCTGCCCTGGCTCCCGGGCCTCGGGATAGATGTTGTTTTCCCACCACCTAAGGCCTGTTTCCAGCCCTTCCTGCACCCAGGCTGACACCGGCCAGGGGACCACGGACGCGGAGACCACGCAGCCGACACCCACCGGGTTGTTGGCGGCCTTGCCGGCCAGGATGCCGCGGGCCTTGGCCTTGTTCATGTTGAAGTTCCGCAGGTAGGCCTCATAGATGCGCCTGGCCAGGGACCTGAGGTCCGCAGTTTCCGAATCGTCCACGTCGTGGTCACACGTGAGGATTTCTGCTTTCAGTTTCGCTTTTTCGGATCTTGGCATTCGTCCAAAACGAATTGCTGGTGGGGGGGCAGGGGGATGAAATGACGGGGACAAACAGAAGTGAGCATTTGGCGGGAAGGAGGGCTGACCGCGGCACGGAACGTTCGCGCGGGAATTAAACTCGGAACGAAAACTGACAGGAAAGGTCGGAGCCGCCTCTCGGCCCCACTCCACTTTCTGCTTTGGAGATGACAGTAAAACTCAGGCTCCATGGATCCCGCCCCTTTTCAAAACGTTAAAATAGCCCGGCCAGGGTGGCTCAGTGGTTGAACGTCAACCTGTGAACCAGGAGGTCACGGTTAGATTCCCGGTTGGGGCACATGCCTTGGGTTGTGGGCGCGCAGGAAGCAGCTGATCAATAATTCTCTCTCATCACTGATGTTTCTCTCTCTCTCTCTCCCTGAACTCTCTTCCTCTGTGAACTCACTAAAGTTATCTATTTAAAAAAAAATTTCAAGGCCGAACCGGTTTGGCTCAGTGGATAGAGCGTCGGCCTGCGGACTCAAGGGTCCCAGGTTTGATTCCGGTCAAGGGCATGTACCTTGGTTGCGGGCACATCCCCAGTAGGGGCGTGCAGGAGGCAGCTGATTGATCTCTCTCATCGATGTTTCTAACTCTCTGTCCCTCTTCGTTCTTCTCTGTAAAAAATCAATAAAATATATTTTTAAAAAAAATTTCAAGGTTAAAATAAAAGGCAACAGCATGAATCATGGCTTTGGTAGGACGGGCTCACGGCTGCTGTCACGGGTGCGTCATCGGTCTGTGATTAAGGAGATGAAGCTGAGCCTCAGAGTGCGTTTATACCGCCCCTTTTCCTTTTTCCAGAAGGTAGGCTGCCACTTCTATGAACTCGTTATATTATTTTTTTAATGTTTATATTGATTTCAGAGAGAGGAAGGGAGAGGGAGAGAGAGAGAATCATGGATCGGCTGCCTCCTGCACGCCCCCCACCGGGAATGGAGCCCGCAACCCGGGCATGTGCCTGACAGGGAGTCGAACCGTGACCTCCTGGTTCATGGGTCCACGCTCAACCTCTGAGCACACTGGTAGGGCTGAACTCGTTATTTTAAATTCACTTTCACATAATAACTGGCATGTTCTAAAATGAGAATAGGCTTTAATGCAATTAAACTCACAGTAGAGCAGGATGCTTACGATGGCACACACTTCCTACGTGTGATAACCTTACGGCGCTGTCTACCATCGGTGACTGACAGTCGGTTTAAAGTCTCACATCACCGAGTCTCAGCGTCTGACGCTTCTAACAGTGACTCCTGCGCTGGGCTGGCCGCAGCTACCTGAGGCGCTTCCTGTCTCGGGCATTCACGGCTGCGACATGACCCGGGCATTGTCCAGGCTGCGCCATGACCCGGGCATTGTCCACGCTGCGACATGACCCGGGCATTCACGGCTGCGGCATGACCCGGGAATTGTCCAGGCTGCGGCATGACCCGGGCATTCATGGCTGCAGCATGAGCTGGGCATTCACGGCTGTGGCACGTGCTTTCCTTCCGCCGGAGCCCGGAGAGGGAGCGGCCTGGCTGGGAACGGCGACGGCGGCCTTACCTACCGTTATGGGACATCCCGACCGAAAGGCACTTGTGGAAGCGGCAGTACTGGCACTTGTTCCGGTTCTTCTTCTGGATCTTGCAGCTCCGGTCACACTTGTCGTACGCCAGCTTCAGGCGGATGGTTCGCCGGAAGAACCCCTGTGGGATGCGCGGGACCGAAGTGGGCGTCAAGGCTTCAGCCACACCCCTGTTCACGCATTACCTCTTCCCTGTTCACACATTACCTCTTCCCTGTTCACGCATTACCTCTCCCCTGTTCACGCATTACCTCTCCCCTGTTCACACATTACCTCTTCCCTGTTCACATATTACCTCTTCCCTGTTCACACATTACCCCTTCCCTGTTCACGCATGACCACCTTCCTGTTCACGCATTACCTCTTCCCTGTTCACGCATTACCTCTCTCCTGTTCACGCATTACCTCTCTCCTGTTCACGCATTACCTCTTTTGGCGTGAACTAAATTCAGAGACATAGTTCTGAAGAGTCTGATGTAATTGGGACGAGTTGAAAAAAATTTAAATATCATTACAGGTGAAAGTGGAAACAGAAAATGAGGCAAAATTCAAAGTAGTTTCCAAGTGTCCTCAATCGGCTCAGAGGGACACAATTCTAACCCCCCAAAGAGCTGCTCAGTCCTGTTATAATTTACACAAGTATTGTTAATGTTTTCTTTTTTTAAAATATGTTCTTATTTATTTCAGAGAGGAAGGGAGAGGGAGAGAGAAATAGAAACATCAATGATGAGAGAGAATCATGGATTGGCTGCCTCCTGCACGCCCCACACTGGGGATCGAATACACAACCTGGGCCTGTGCCCTGACCAGGAATAGAACCGTGACCTCCTGGTTCATAGGTTGATGCTCAATCACTGAGCCACGCTGGCCGGACACAATTTACACAAATTCAACTTTCCCTCTCTTATGACATCTATATTTGTGACTAAAAACTACAGGAATTTTTATAAGAGAATGTTAACTCCCTAAAAGACAAAAATCATAATAAAATATAAAAGGAAGCCAGCTTTATGCAAACAATTTTTGCTTTAAAAAAGCAGCTTAGACTTTATCAGTAAGAAGCAACTTTATTATTTATACTCAACAATAAAATTTTATTTAAATACGCTACGCAAAAGTAACCTAAGCATGCCGAAAAGACCACCTGACAAGCAGCTTTCTGAAAGGCTCGCGGTCAGACAAGCTGTGAAGTGGTTCATAGCGCGTTTGGCTCTTTTTCTCTGCTCTCCAC